ACAGATTTTGGCACTTTAGTGCCATTTTTACCGCTTAATGGAATTAAATCCAAATAGACGGTAAAATGGTCTCTCCAAAATCTGATCCAACCATCAATTTCTACTGTGTTTGCTAACCATCCACAGGTTCAGTAGAAATAAATTCAAACACTGAATGACAAACTAGTCATTCAAATGACATGCTAGTTTCTATTCTTGATTTTCTCCCAAGGACAATGGGAGAAATGTAGCATGTTCCCCAAACTTCATTCTAATTGGTGGCCTGGATCTCTCAGACACAGGATAGATAATCCTTTTGCTATCCCTCTTCTTCCTATTTTGAACCGTGGTAGTTTGGAAGGTTTAGACTAAAAGAAATATATGCAGTGAAAAATGCTACAGAAAGTATAGGTGAAATAAGATTGGTCAGAGATTGATAACCGTTGAAGCTGAGTTATTGGGGTTGGTTATATATGCTGTTCTCAACCTTTGAAAAAACATATTTTTCCCATAATATTAAAATTTTAAAACAAACCCAATTATCCTGAAAAGCAATAATCTCCAGAATCCAGGCTCCACCAGATGCCTTGGATTAAGGTGAGGAAATGCCACACGAGATAATGTGGACAGTCTCCTGGTTCGCTATTTAGCATCCTAGATATCGATAAGGAATGGAACCTTCAAAGTGTGTATGATAAACCTAAAGAAACTTAGTACAGGAAAAGGACTGAAATTCATAGCGGCAAAAGGTAATTGCAGTCTTGAATGAAGGGGAAATTCCTCCTAAAGTAGGATGATATAAGTTTGGCCTGGAGAGTATATGAATTTCATCTACAGAGCTGCATAGAAAGACTGACCTATTGGCCCTCTTACAGGGTCTTATTGGGACTACTGGAATATAGCCATAATGTGCCAGTACCATAGGCTGCTGAAGTTGCAAAAACAACCTAGTTTTTAAAAGCGAGTTTGGACTGGTCAGATGATGGTGAATTTAAATGATCCCCTTATGATCTGATTTTCTCTGGGCTTGGAGAAAACTCTAACCTAAGAAGCATACAGAGAAATAAAATGATCGATAACAGGGGCTTACAATAAAGATTGAGAAAAACAAACCATAAATGTTTAGCTTATAATGTGACTGAAGCGTCTGCCCAAAGTGGATGGTAGTTTCTGTTGAGAGGTCCTGGGAGTGCAGGTATATTTCAAGTGGGAGGCAATGGGGAATGTTATTTATATGACCCAAGCTCAGTGTTTCCCCCAGCTATTAACCCAGCCTGATCCTTTACTGAGTGAAAAAAAATTCCACCTTATGAAAAATAAAGATTTATCCTAAGAAAAATTATATTGACCTCGTTTTCTAAGCCATATGAATTCTCCCCCACTTTTCTGATGAAAATAGACAAGCGTCACTGGAGCCCAGAAAAAAGGAATTTTATTAAGAGTCCTAAGAGATAATAGTATTATCCAATATAAAGCAGCATTAAACCAATTTTCCCAGTTGGGAAAAAGTAAAGAAAAAAGAAATATCTTTCCATGGAAGAGAGAGGGTTTGGATTCAAACTCCTTTTCATCTGGTCCTTTTTTAATGTCCCATTTGTCACTATGTGATATCACACAAAGGAGATCCTTCTTTGTATCATATTGTTATCCACTGAAAACTAAAACATAGATTCATCTTAGAGCATCCTTCTTGTCCACAAACTGGTTTCATAAGAAGAGCTGTAATGAAGTGTCTTTTCCCAGGACTCTCACAGCCTTTGTTGTTATTAATAATTATAATATAAGAGTTATTGTCTTTCACGACAAGAGAAACAGAGATTCTGGAAGGAAACGCATAGGGCTCAAATTGTGGAGGCCATCAATGAGAAACCTGGGAATTCTCAAAGCCCTCAGGCCTTCCTACAGTGCAGCTGCTGATCTAGCCCACCTCAGAGCTACTCCACAAATCCCAGCTTTTTTTAATGGATCAGGAACTTTTTTTTTTAATGAACCAGGGATGCTTTTAAATTACTCTTTTATACCGTCATATTTTTCCAGATTCCAAAGCAGCTCCTCACGCCTTACTTTTTTTCTCTCTTTTTTTTTTTGTTCTTTTCTTTCTTACACCTTACTTTTTAATTCTCTGACTTCAGAGATTCCCAGCCTCTTTAAGGATGAAAATCCGCTCCTATCATGACAGTTTTAGTGGACCCTCACTTGATCGTATTCGGCTTTTTTGTATTTGTTAGTGGGAAAAACTCAACATGGCAAAAACTTATGACAGAACCCCTGTATAAATTCAGTAATTTTTAAATGAGTTTGTATTTTATTGTTCATAATATACACCTAAAAGTAGTAGCACATAGTGTGGAGAACAATAATTTCAGCTTTACACAATGCTTGGTGAGAATATGGATTCAAAGACCCTTCTCCAATAACTGATTCCTTTGCCAATCAGGAATCCCACATGTCATCATCAGATGAGATTTCAAGAGCCATAGAAAGGTGGCTCTAAAACATAAATGTAGAGGACCAAAAGATAATGGTTTTCAAAAGCTGCCTTAAAATCCAAAGATTTTAGACAAATTCTTTCCCTACTGCAGAAGAGAAATGGACTCTGGAAAGAAGTAGAGGTGGTAACTTCTGTGGAAGAATGAGAGCAGAGCTACAGTTTACTTCTGTGTCCAGGGGCATCCTTCTGATTTGGTGGTGACGGACTCAGGTGGAGAGCGAGCAAGAAATGAACAGAACTGGGTAAGACCCAGTGTCATTATGAGATATCATTTGGAGTAAAATGGGGCCGACCGGTTAAGGTAAAACACTTTCTAGGCCAGCTCATTCCAGATGAGTAAGTGCATTGGAAGGAAAATCAGATTGGTTCCTCTCTGGCCACCATTATAATCATCATCATCTGCTTGGCTTATCCTGCATTCTCATTCTCTTTCTTTGGAGCCGTAAGGATTAAGAAAAATAAATTCAAAGGAAAGAATTTGCTCAAGTTACTAAAAGACGGTTCTCCTCAGAAGTGTCCCAACTATAAAAAATTGTGGCAAATACTTTTCAAAAAACTTATCTTGTACTGATTTACCTAGTAAAACTGCATATGATAGGGGAATCTCATCATTATTCTCTCCTTTTCAAGCCCAGGAATTTCTGTTGATGGACTTTTTTAGACAGTAATTTCAGGCAGGCCTACGATTGAACAGCCATGCAGAAATTGTGGTTCTCTATTTGCTAAATGCTTTTGAGGTCCTTATATAAAAGGCTGATAATGAAGTATTAAGAGAAGCATTTCAAAGGCTGTGGTTGGTCAGATTTCTCTGCATGGCATAAAGGGGAAGACGACCTTATGCAAAACCCTGATAGTTTCATTAGAAGCATAATCAAGATCTAACGTGAAACTTAAAAGTGACTTTTCAGATGCCACCACAGATTCCTGATGAAGTACAAATGTTTAATTTAAATTGGGGCTTATAGGGAAAAGCAATTAAAATCTAATTGTATTATACAGGAGATTTGTACATTTTCTCCTCAAAGTCAGGCAAGGGGAGGAGGGGTTCTTAAACCCTGCTTTTTAAATTAGAACTTTCTTTCACATCTCTTTTTTCTTTTTTCTTTTTGAATCCAGACACTTGAATTTGGACAGACAAGCAACCCAGCCACCTTTCAGTGTGGCTGTGTCAGTATCGGAATGAAATGAACATGACCCCCTCCAGCAGGGAAGGGAACACACAGTAAAGGTATTTTTTATAAAACAATTCACACCGCCCTGGTGACTAGGAAAAGGAATCTCGTGTTTCTCTTTTGCTGATACTGAATCAGCTGAAGAATACCATGAGCATCAGTAGAAATGCTCTGAAATAGTCTCCTCTCCCTTTTGTCTTTTTGTTCTCCTGAGGGGGAGAGAAGAGAGACTTTTTTTTTTATGTTGAAATATTTAATTAAAACGCCAATTAAAAATGGACTAATTGGTGATTCTGCTTATAATTAGAAATGTTGCAAATTATTGTATTAACTTGCAAATAGTTTTATGAAGTTGGCATACTTATCAACATTCCGATAAAGATGGCTACACTCATTTATGATAGAAATGTATTTTCAGTTCTCAAAGGAAGCTTATTTCAGCAAAGAAATTTCTTTTCTTCCTTCCTCAACAGTTTGTGTAGCAACTGGATTTATATCCTGGTTAAATAGATGGTCAAAATGAGAACTGATGAAGAGAGAGACTGAGCTTATATCTGAACTGGAGAGAAACTCCAAACACCCTAGCAACCTACATTCTGTACGTTATTGTGTACTGGTGTATTTGCTTATGAACAGTTGCATGTATAGATAGTTTATCTGGTTTCCAAGAGATAAATGAGAACGGTGATGATATTCTTTAGCATTTGTGTTTATAATTTACAAAGTACTTCGTGTACATTATCTGATTTTCTGAGCAATTTAGAAATGTTTGTAAATTGAACAAATTAAATAAATTTGTTGAGACGTTTATATTTCTAAAATATTTAGTTTCAAACATGTTTGTTAACCCAATGCCTACTTAGTAGTTTACATAACATTTTTTATGTCTAGAAAATGACAGTTTGAGCAATTACTTAGAATATCCTGGAAAAAAAAATGAAGTCAGAAAGTCCAAAGTAAGAGCTCATTAAATTTCGTCTCCAGGCTTCACCTCAAGATCAGATTCAACAAATGGAATTTGCTTTGAACTACCGTCCTCTCCACAATGCCGACATCAGGATTTGGTTAAAAAAAAAAAAAGGCTGCTGTCCATTTTTCCCCACATCCCTTGGAATATTTGAGGAACAGCAGTTTATAAAAATAGGAACTCCTCCTCCCATTATTAGTCCTTTATTGGTAGGGGTCCTAAAGAATCACTAAAGTCAGCCACTGATTTAGAAAGAGTCCCACTCCATAGAACAGTCTTTCCTAGGAGAGATCTCAAGCCTTCCTACATTTCTGGAAATGAAATGAGCTTTACCCAACATATTACATACACTTACCTATTCCCAGTTTCAGGTAAGAGTCCAGTTACTTACCAGCTGTGGCTGAGTTGGAGGACACAGGTAAAAAGAGAGATGTACACAGAAGGCTTTGAAGGAAACATAATCCTCTGGAGTAACAGCTAGAGAAAATTCTAAAAAACTGGGAGATGGACAGGCAAGATGGAGCAATATTCTCCTCAGTGGCAGTGGGATGGAAATCTCAAAGCCCAACTTCCTTAGTGTGTAAGCAATCCCAAACAGAGTTAAGGGGAGGTGAAATGGAGCTGCCAAACGTCCAAAGGAGAGATTATCCACTTAATTAAAGTTCTTTTTTCCTCCCTCTAAGACCTTCAGCCAATCACAACTCAAGTGCCAGAGAAAGATTGAGTCAATCAAAAGAACACTCCAGGATCCTCCCAGACAAATGCAGAAGAAGGGGACCAGGAGAAAGAAGACAAAGAAAGAAGCAGGGGGAAGAGACATAGCAAATCCCCTGCACATAATCACTGCATGGAGTCTCTTACCTCCCTCTTGCCTATCCCTTCCCACCATACTACAACCTTCCCCCACCCAGGTGCGCGCGCACACACACACACACACACTCACACACACACACAGCCTGGTCCCCAAAAGGGATCCAGAAGGCACTGTGCTTAACTGGTTGTCCCTTGTAGCACTCTGAGACTGAATTTGCATTCAGGATAGCTTTTTTCCAGAAAAAAATACACCAGGTGCAGGTGAACCTCCGCCCTCTGATTTGAGAATGTGGGGATGCTGTTCTACCATCTAGTGTATTCTTCCTCTAAGTTAGAAAGGCTAGAAACTTCAGGAAGCCTGATGGTTGTTTCTTCCTTTCAACTTTTCCATCACACAATTACTTACTGAATGCCTGTTTTATTCTTGATGCTATACTAGGCATTGTGAAAATTTTTAAAAACCAAAATGTGATTTCTGCTGTAACATTTATAGCCTAGTAAGGTGACAATAAAAGAATGCAGTTTAATAAACTATTACATAGCTACAAACTGCCTATATAGTACAGACTTATTTAAGGGAGGTTTTCTGAAGAAGGTAGAATTTGAGTTTTGAAGAAGGGAAGAGATTTCAATGGGCACACAAAAGTAATCTCAAAATCCCTACTTTCTTAAACTCGGATGGTGGAGCCAGGAGGGGACCCAGGCCCTTGCTCACACTCCTCTGGGACTCTATTCCTTCTGTTTCCCTAGGGAGGAGGGTGGCCTCAGCCACAGTGCTGGGGATCCTCAAAGGGCTCCAGACTGATGTCCATGTGGCCATCAGTCTTCTAAAAAATTTTTCAATAATTTTTGTGGGTACATAGTAGGTATATATATTTATGGATTACATGAGATATTTTGATACAGCCATACAATAAATGCATAATAACCACATCAGGGTAAGTGAATATCCATCACCTCAAGAATGAATCCTTTGAGTTACAAACCATCTGATTCTACTCTTAGTTACCATGTACAGTGAAATTATTATTGATGACAGTCACCCTGCTGTGCTATTGAATACTAAGTCTTAGTCATTCTTTCAATTTTCACACCTTCTATTTTAGCATCCACATTACCTTTCTTTAAGGTCTGCCTGAGACAGTGGTCTTCGTTCTCTTCTTTATCCTTGTTCCTCTTGCTCCCAACCCTCTCTGGCTAGACTGAACCAGAAAATAAAGAATTAATACACAAATTCACTTTCTGTATTACCTGAGCCAGATAATTTAGTGGTCTTTACCTCAATATCTTAACAGTGTGATTTTGCTGTCCACATGGAATCTTCTAGACCAAGTCTTTATTTGGGATTCCAAATCTTATTGTGAGATGAGCTTGGTCAGCTGTGGTTCCTACACAAGCAACTTTAGGTTATTCTCTCTCTTCATTCACAAAGGGAGCAGCAGAGTCTATTTCAGGCCAAGAGTCAAGTCCTAGGAGGGTAAGGAGCAATGACTCCTGGATTTCAGCCTTGACTCTTCCCTGACCACAGTTTTTGCCCTTTATTTGACTAGAGAACTCCTAAGGGATGCAAAAATTCATTGGGAGGTAGAGCAGATTTGGGCAGTATTCGTGTGAAAAGGGAGAGCTGATTTAAAATGAGTTCATTGCCGGGCGCAGTGGCTCAAGCCTGTAATCCCAGCACTTTGGGAGGCCGAGGCGGGTGGATCACGAGGTCAAAAGATCGAGACCATCCTGGTCAACATGGTGAAACCCCATCTCTACTAAAAATACAAAAAATTAGCTGGGCATGGTGGCATGGGCATGGTGGCATGTGCCTGTAATCCCAGCTACTCAACAGGCTGAGGCAGGAGAATTGCCTGAACCCAGGAGGGGGAAGTTGCGGTGAGCCGAGATCCCGCCATTGCACTCCAGCCTGGGTAACAAGAGCAAAACTCCATCTCAAAATAAATAAATAAATAAATAAATAAATAAATAAAATGAGTTCATTGAGGCACTGTCCCATCCCCTCAGAATTTCTTCCACAAAGTAAAAAGTTAAGACTTTTATTGTTTGTTTATCTATTTATTTATATTTAGAAACAGGGTCTTACTACGCTGTCCAAGGTGGTCTCAACCTCCTGGCTTTGCAAGGTGATCCCGCCTTGGTTCAATGAGCTGGGATTACAGGCATCAGCCACCACGCCGGGCCTACCTCTATTGTTTTACACAAAATCAATACATTCTTATAATAAAAACTTAAATATGACAGAAATAAAGAGTGCGGACTCCCTTTGATGACTTGCCTCCTCCCCTTTAGGATGACAGCAATGAAATTTTAGATGGCCTATAAGGAGGTTTTATATACATATGTAAATGTGTATATACATATTTTTCACAAAATGAGATTATGTAAATTATATTTTACAAATTGCTTTTCTCATTTAATAATATACAACTTTCTACGTTAGGGTCTAAAGATCTCTCCTACTCTCAATTTTTTAAAGAGCAGGATAAAGGCCGGGCGCAGTGGCTCAAGCCTGTAATTCCAGCACTTTGGGAGGCCGAGGTGGGTGGATCACGAGGTCAAGAGATCAAGACCATCCTGGTCAACATGGTGAAACCCCGTCTCTACTAAAAATACAAAAAATTAGCCGGGCATGGTGGCGCGTGCCTGTAATCCCAACTACTCAGGAGGCTGAGGCAGGAGAATTGCCCGAACCCAGGAGGCGGAGGTTGTGGTGAGCCGAGATCGCGCTATTGCACTCCAGCCTGGGTAACAAGAGCGAAACTCCATCTCAAAAAAATAAATAAATAAATAAAAAATAAAGAGCAGGATAGTATAAATTGTCAGGTTACAAGTCATCTGATTTTGCTCAATATTTAGGTTGTTTTCAGTCTAGTAAAGGAATTGCCAGTTTTTTATTTCTTTTGTTGTTGTTATTCTTCGGGCATTTAAAAGGCAACTTTTTCAACACCTGTGAAAAGAAGAGAACCAAAAAAAAAAGGCAACTTTTAAATTTATTTCAGTTTGAATTGAAGTATTGCTACTTTAATCATCTTGATACTAGAGGAGGCCTTTCTCTTAGCTTCTGGTGTTGCTGGCCATCCTTGGCGTATCTTGGCTTGTGGATGCGTCACTTCAGTCTCGGCCTCTGTCATCACACGGTGTTCTCCCCTTCTTCTCCTCCTCTACCTCCTCTTCCTCCTCCTCCTCCTTCTTTGTCTTCTTCTTCCTTCTTTCTTCTTCTGTTTTTATTTATTTATTGATTTTTAGAGACAGTGTCTCGCTTGCCCCCAGGCTGGAGTGCAGTGGTGCAGTCACAGCTCACTGCAGCCCTGAATTCCTATGAACAAGCGATCCGCCTGCCTCAGCCTCCTGAGTAGCTAGTACTACAGGTGCACACCACCACACCTGGCTAATTCTTACATATTTTTTAGAGACAAGGTCTCGCTATGTTGCCCAGGCTAGTCTCAAACTCCTGGCCTCAACTTCCATCTTGGTCTCCCAAAGTATTGGGATTATAGGTGTGAGCCACTGCCCCTGGCCTCTTTTCTTCTGAGAAGGACACTATTTGTCTTGGATTAAGAGCCCACGCTACTCCAGCATGACCTCATGTTAAATTGACTAATTACATCTGCCACAACACCTCTATTTCCAAATAAAGTCACATGCTGAAGTAGTGGAGCTTAGGGCTTTGATAATATCTTTTGGGAGGACACAACTCAACTGATAACACATAGGACACTTACCGTTAAACATTTCACTCTAAAAACTCCAACAGGTGGGCATAGTGGCTCACGCCTGTAATCCCAGCACTGGGCGGCCTAGGCGGGTGGAAAACCTGAACTCAGGAGTTTAAAACTAGCCTAATGAACATGGCAAAACTCTGTGTCTACCAAAAATACAAAGGTGGCGACTCACGCATGGTCAAAGGTGGTGAATCTGGCGTGGTGACTCATGCCTGCCTGTGGTCCCAGCTACTTTGGAGGCTGAGGTGGGAGGATCACTGCAGCTTGGGAAGTCAAGGCTGCAGTGTGCCGTGATCACACCACTGTACTCCAGCCTGGGAGACAGAGTGAGACCCTATCTCAAAACAACAACAACCAAAACACCCCCCAAAACCCTGCAACAAACCTTGTACTCATATTCAGCTGTTGTATAATTTCAGATTTTATCACTTTGGACCCTTTTACCTGGGTGGTCAAATCCCACACAACAAATGATGGAAAGTTCTGTGATTCCGGAGCCTGCATTCTGGGTATTGAGCCCTTTCTAATTGAGCCATTTGAGTTATTTTGAGGAGAACTCATTAATTATTTACTGGAGGGGCAGGTGCTTGACTGATGAAGGAGGAGTGAAACTGATGGGCCGGCTGTTCTCTGTACAGACTTTGAATCAATAAACCTCACATCTAACTTGCTCCCTCTATTGTATCTGGGGCCTCCAGCTAAAAGCTCCTTCTGTGGACTGCCCAGTGCCCTTGGCTGCCTCCCCCTCCACACAAACCCTAGGCAGTAGCTGCTTCTTTCTGGTTTCATTACCCTTTCCTTATCTCTAACTTCAAAAAGTTGGTTGACAGCTTCATTTGCTGATGGGCCCATTCATTTTTTTCACCACTGTAAGTTTTATTTATTTCTATGTTATTTGTCATCTTTATAATACGGTGGGGTTCCAGTAGTGAGAGGGAAGAACTGTATTCACTTCGCTTCCTAACACTTGTGAATATGTATACTTAAAATGTTAATAGCTATTACCAAATTGC